GGATTATACCCGGGGATTCCATGTGCATGAACAGAATGAACATGACATCGTTTTTCAAAGTGGCAGATGCATTTAAAACACTGCTGCCCTGTGATTCAATTTGGCCTATCCAAAACTAGACTAGGCTTATATTGTGGAAAAATCAGACATTACTCGAGCATCAAGAAAGGCAGGGAACACCCTATTAGTAGGTATAGGCACCTAGGCTTTGGTCTTTACCTCGAGCTAGGCCAACCTTTGCCTAAAGTTTCTTTCATAAGTTAGTTTTTGCGCAACAACAACCACTCCAACCACACACCCATCACACAAGGAAGACAGTCCACTTATCTAACAAGTTATTTTTAGCAGTGAGAGTCTCTGCGGAACATGTGAGTCTTCCTGCTATGAATTGTGAATCAACGATCTGATCAGCCCATTGGGCGAGTCTCTTCAGGTAAGGACCACGGTGTTGCCTGTTTTTAGCCGCACTGTGTGGAACACGCGAGTCTCTACAAGCTGTGCATTAACGATCCGATGCCCACTTCTGTGCATTAACGATCCGATGCCCACTTAGGGACAGAAAGTTGTGTATGCAGTTAAAATAAATGATGCGACAAAAAAAATTAAAAATTAAATTAAATAAATAAATAAAAATAAAATTATTCCCATATCAATATTTTCAAAATTTCTGATGCGGGTGGGAGTGATAATCTAATAAATTTTTCTATTTACCCTAAGCGTCACACCCCCAGAAATTGCCTACTTGCCTAATGATTGCCTACTTGCCTAAATGATTGCCTAAATTCCGACAAGGAAATTCTCAAGCTCCTTGGAGTCTTACAGCGCTACAATAAAATGTTTGTAATAATAAATTTTCTATTATTAATATTTATTTATTTCTAATAATAGCTATTTATATCCTGTAGCTTGAAGGAAATCATTCTTATTATGTGGTCATTAAACTGTACATTTCAATCATTCTTGTGAGCAAAATGTTCCTCGTGGGAGTGCCAGGCTTTGGCAATTGACAGTATTGACATCCTCTATCCTACTATATACTCAACTTTGTAAAGAGTGCCGTATACATGCAAGTCCATGACAATAGCTGACTTAAATCGTCTATTACCTTTCCAAGTTTAAATTGCTGTAGAATCTTTTTCAAAAACAGCAAATAGGAAATTAAAGATTGATCTATGTTATATCGTATACAATATTTCTGTATCATAATTACAGATGTTCCAATCCCCGGGACTAAACAAAATTCAGGAGACAGAGGTGGACAGGGAAGAGAATCCACCATTCCTATTCTAAAATTTCCTTGAAAATTTGTTTTCTTTTGTGCATTATGATTCTTTTCCTTTCTATAGGTTTTAGACTGATTTATTATTGTAACTATTCTAGAAAAGTAATTTTGAATGTGAAGGAAAGAGGAAAAAACATTTACTGGTTAGAGGGATTGTTTTAGTGTTTAATGCATATTTTTAGGGGATTTTCCTGGGTAAAGTTTGCCTAAACTTCTAAAAAAAAAACACTGGCTACTGTATATAATATGTAAACTGGCTTTCAACATGTCAAAGGTCTATGTACATTATATATTTAGGGTTAATAATTAATATGTAATACATTGTAGTCTTCTGTGAAATTTCAGTAGGCTAAATAAAGCCACACCCCACTCACTCACATCAAGAGAATTTCTATGAATAAACATCTCTCAATTAGCCCTTGACCAAATCCTTGGTATCTTTGTCAATGACAA